GACTCAGTCATCCACATGCTGGGATTATAGGTGTGCAGTACTACACCTGATTTACATTTTATTTTTATTTTATATTTTTGAGTGATGATCTCACTATGTAGCCATGACTGGCCTATAACTTACATAATAACCAGGCTGACCTTGAACTCACAGAAATCCTCCTGCCTCTGTCTTCCGAGTATTGGAATTAAAAGCCTGCACCACCATGCCTGACATGCTTCTCTCTTATGTTCATTATCTCTGTAATTTTGATCTTATAATACAAAATAGTAATATTTAGTGATAGGAACACACAGAAATGAAGGCAGGTCAGAGAAGCTGGAGACTTAATTCCAAGTCTACACAGGATGGTCTCAGGTCACAGGACACACTTTATTCTTTTCATGTTTGTGGATGGGTACTGTAATGGGGCCCCAGACCTTAGTAGGCTCAGAGACCTCAGCACAACTGACTCCATGAGGTCACAAAACTCAGCACATAGACAGTACCATGTGCCAAGACTAAAACTCTTGATAAAGTCAATTAATCGGATTCTTTTCTTTTTCTTTCTTTTTCTATCTTTCCTTTTAGTTTTCTTTTTTGGTGCGTGCGTGCGTGCGTGCGTGCATGCATGCGTGTGTGTGTTGATTATATGCCCCACCAGCTCCTCCCTCCTATTCCCCTGGATATCTTGAACACATACCCCTCACACTTTCATGACCACCACCATCTCCTCAGTTTCCTCCTCGTTCCCCTCCTCTTTCCAATCTGAGTTGTGTCTTCCTTGATCTGTCAAAATGTAACAAGCTGAACTGTACACTCCTGCTGCCATGGTCAGGGGCTGCTCTTGGCACCATGAGTGCCAACACACCTTCCATCACGACGGGCTGAGTGACTCCTTCTCCCTCTCCTCCCTCCTCCTATTCTTTTCTTCCTTTTCTATAATCCATTGAGTCTAATTAGTGCTGCTTGGGTGAGCATGGGTAACTTAGCAATAGCCACACCCCAAAGAAGAGAAGTGTCTCCCTCTCACCCCTGCAGCCATCAGTTGCCAGCACCTCCTCAGCTAGTGGCGGGGTGTCATGAGCTTGTCCCTCAAACATGCTGGAATTATTGACTGGCTTCATCTTGTGCAGGTGCAGTAGCTACTTTAGTTCAGGTGTACAATGGTCATGCCATATTCAAATGTCACAGCACTCTTCCATCCTCAGCTCTTCAGAGTTATTCCCAGAGCAGTATGGGGGCTAATACAGATGTCTCACTTAGGGCTGAGAACTCAATAGCCACTTAATTTCAGCACCTCAACCAGTCATGGATTTCTACACTGACTGCTGGGCAAGGTGAAGAGCAACACTAACCTATGAGCATAAACATAAACACATAATTTGACAACTCTTCTGTCTGTTTTGCAAAACAAGAGCGGCGGGTTCCCCTGCTAGGGCCTATAAGCTCCTGTGACCCTATAGGCTCTTGAGCAAGCTTCAATATTAATAGGATTCTTACCAAGGGTAGGTCAAGGACTTAGACAGTGAGGGTAAGGAATTGTGGCACATGGTCAGATATTATCAAGGGAAGGGAGTACTTCTCACTAAACTGACTCAGTGAAATTCTTGCTCTAAAATTGCACAAGGAGTTGGAGGTTCACCTACGTGGCACAGTTCTTTCCTAGCATGGAAAAGATCCTGGATTTGCTCTCAAGAGTCAGAAATGACAACATGAAATAGAATGGGGTGTGGCTTGGCTGACACAGTGCTTTCTTAGCACACTCAAAGGCCTGGGTTCCTGTTCTAGCAAGTGACTTCATTAGAATGTTTAAGCTATAAGGCACTTTCATTTCTATGGGTGCTTCTCTGTTCCCATAGTTTCTTGCATGATACAAATTAATTGGGGAACTGGCAGAGAGCTTAGTTGCTTTCAGTACTCTTTGAGGCTAACAGGGACATTCAGGCTTTGGGGCTCTGGGGGCTCCTTATTAAAATCGCAACTTAAACTGAGAGAACTGTACTTATTTCTCACTAAATGTTTCCTCCTAAAACTGAATTCAGGGGAAGTAAGAACTCCGTCAATCTCCTCCAGACAATTTTAACTATTTGTCTAAAACATTTGAACGTTGGATGATCAGTAGATGAGATAAGCCAAAGAGAACAAAACCATTATGAGAAGATTTTAGCATGTCTTCCCCAAACTCAAAAATGAAGAACACAAATGATACATGGAAAATCTGAGAAACAGAAACAACTGACCTCATGGGCGTGTGTGGGAACCTCAGTCCACACACAGAAAACTACCTTCTTTCCCTCTCTCCCACCCTCCCCCTCCTACCCAGGCTACAGATCCAAGCACTCTACTATTGAGCCAACCACCATCCCAAGAATATACTTCTCAAACAGAGAACACAAACAAAACTAAGTAGTTGGGCCAGCAGGATGGCTCAGCAGGGGAAGGCACCTGCCACCACTTGGCAACCTGAGATCCATCTCTGGGACCCACACGATGGAAGGAGAAAATTGACTCCCAAAAGTTGTTCTCTGACCTCCATGTGTGCACCATAGTGTATGTGTGTTCATACACATAGACAGATAGATACATAGACACACACACACACACAAAAATAAACACACAGACAGACAGACAGACAGACACATAGACAGGTACACAGGCACATACAAATAAAACAGAATTTTATTTATGAAACTAAGTACATGATTTTAAAAATGATTCTCGAATTATTCCTTTTTCTTAACTAGCAATTGTTTTTCCTCCTGTCGCGTAGGCTTCTGCCTTTGGGTTATGGAGTGGTTATAACTACCAGGGAGGGAAGTGCTACCTGCCCCTACGCTTGCCAACAGAACCAGTCTCAACTCTGGCTGCTGAAACATTTCACATGCAATTTTTCATGTGTGTATATGTATCATTAAGTTTTTATTTTAAGCGAGCTGTTCCCACAGTGAGTATGGTGGCAATGCCTGTAATTCTAGCAATGGAAGGCAGAGGCAGAAAGACCGTCACAAGCTGAAGGCCAAGCATAGGCTACATAGTGATTTCCAGTCCAGCCAGGACCACACTATGAGGTCTAGTTCATAAAAAGGACTGAGTGAAAGTTAAGTCAGGAAGATGTTTATGTTATAAGCACAAGGGCCTGGGTTTGATCCCCAGAACCCAGGAAAAAGTCCAGGCAGAGTGATGGGTGCCTATTATACTAACGCTAAGCAGACACACACACACACACACACACACACACACACACACACACAGAGTGTGAGTTTTGCTATGTAACTTCGTTGTAGAAATATAAATCATACAGAAATGTATAATGTAAAAAATGAGCTGGATATGATGGCCCAGGTTTATAATCCCAGCATGTTTGAGGCAGAGGTAGGAGCAGCAAGAGTTCAAGGTCATCCTCAGCTACACAGAGAGTTGCAGGACAACCTGGGCTGCATGAGAGAGACCCATCAGGTTTCTTTCTTATCCCTCTCACCTTATTTTTGAGACAGTTTCCCATTAACCCTGGAACTTAGTGGTGTGGTTAGACTGCCTGGCCAGCAAGCCCCGGGGATCCCCTTGTCCCTGCTCCTCAGCACAGGGATCGCAGGTGCAAATCCCTACACCTGTGGATGTGGGATCAGACTCAGGTTCTCACACTTCTGCATCAAGCACTTCACTGCCTGAGCTCTCTCTAGCCCCAGGACTATCTTCCTTTTCTTTATTTTCAATATGTTTTATTTGTTTACTTTGTGTGTTTATGTGTATGTGGGGGAACATGTCACTGCGGGTGTGCAGAGGTCAGAGGACAATTTGCACAACTTGCTTCTTTCCTCAAGCCATCATAGTCCCAAGTAGAATGGATCAGGCCCCTGCTATCATGGCCAGTGTTTTATCCAGCTGAACCATCTTGCTGGCCCAAAGCCTATCAAACTGTGTACTGCATAATGCTTTATAATCCTGTATTTAATTGGCTTTTCAACTCCAAAGTAACTACTAGCTTCAACGGTGTGGAACAGAGAGTTTCCTGTGGGCGTACAACCGGTTTTTCTTCCAAATTTTTCATGTCACTCTCTGTAAGACTACTTTATCCTTTATAAAGCCGCATCAGAGTCCCACTGCAACTTGGATACATCCTACTTGACAGGTTCATTTAAACATTTTTCAATGTTTTTCGAGGGAGAAAAAGTTCAAGCCCATAATTTATATGCTGCGAGTGCACCAAGAGAAGCCAGAAAAGAGGTGGGGGCAAAGAGGACAACAGCCTCTGGCTATAAACTAGGGTGTAGCTTGGATAGGAAGTGACTGTGTTTCCCCGTCTTCTGGCTACACCCAACACACCTGACAGTCCACGCCAATCTAGAAGCCCTGCCTGGATTTCTAAGATTCCTTTCTCCCTTCAGGAGCTACAACTTCCTCTTTCTTCCCTAATTACAGCGTTGTCTGTTGAAATCCTGTCTTTTCTTCAAAATCCAGAACAAAACCCACCACGATCTAACTAGCCGTGGATGAAAACCAAGTCTCCCTTCTGTAGTTCCAAGACAGAGCCTTTCTTCCAAAGGCAGTAGGAACAACCTACTTCCTCACATGAACGTACACGTGCTGAAATAAAAGTCCCCTCTAGAGAAAGCTCCTACAGCCAAGCTTGCTGACCGGAGTTCAATTCCCAGAACCGACAGAGTGAAAGTAGAGAACCCACTCCTACAAACTGTCCTCTGTTCTCCACACGTACGCTGTGGCATGAGTGCCACACACCTATAAATGTCCACACACAAAATAAAAATAAAATAAAGCAAAACTGAGACAGTTGTTAGAGAATAGACATCTCTTCAATTCCGTGGAGAAAAGTGTCACCCGGGTGTCCTTGGGTGCAAAATGAGAGCAGTGCATAGACCAATTAAAAGACGGAATGACGTTGGACAATAGCGTCTGGTTGGTCGTAGGCACTGGATAAATAAAGTCAGTTCTCACGCAGTAGCGTCCGGTGGAGGCGTGGTCACCTACGACCCTGCGAGCCTCGGGATTGCCTCCACCCTGGGCGCGCGCATTCGGTCATGTGACTGGGCTAAGATGGCGTCGCCCGGTTCCCGGTGGCTCCTGGCTGTGAGTCTTCTGCCCTGGTGTTGCGCCGCCTGGTCGCTGGAACATGTGAACCCGCCTTCGCTGCCACCGCTGGTGATCTGGCATGGGATGGGTGAGTAAGTGTGGAGAGGGGCATCCTTTCCCTGTCTGGGTTCGCATCACAGAGCTGGAAGGGCGAGGACAGTGATTCCATAGCATCCGCCTGACCTCAGTGTTGGGATTTGGGGGCCCTCTGCACTGGAAGGAAGGGAGCCAGGTGTCTTTGGTGTGCGCTCAGGGATTGCTGTGCACTGCTAGGGATTTATGCTGTCCTTGTTAAAATCCTAGCAGCGATGGCATCAGCCAGCAGCATCTGACAGTCAGGCCATTGGTCCCTGCAGAGCCGGGTGACACGCTCATGCTTTCATTCCTTCACTCTTTGAATGGAGATCTACCAGGCACCTGCACACATGTCCTTTATACAGTTACCACACAGCACGACCACACCATGACAGACTGAATTCTCTGCCCTTCTGGAACTTACTTTCCAGTGGGGAAACACACTATAAAGAAATAAGGGAAAGTGTCCCGTGGTGATGAGTGCAGTGGAGACAGACAGAGAGCCTGGAAGGAGCTGGAGGTGTGAGTGTGAGCTTGTAGAGACAATGTTAGGAAAGGACTCTCCCAGAGACTGACACTGAGCAGGTCTGAAGGGGACGAGGGAAGATGTCATGTGGATGTGTGGTCAAAGGAACAGCAGAGACAAAGGCCCTGAGTTGAGCAAGTGATGTCCACAGTGCGGCAGGAGAGAGGGAGCACGGGAAGAGAGGAGGAACGTAGCCGCCTTTATAGTACTGGGAACGTACCCTGTGAGAACAAACCACTGAGCCATCTCTCCAGCCCCCTAACTTACATTTTTAAAAGATTGTTCAAATGCAGTGTGGTGGGAGCCTGTAACTCCAGCACTCAGGAAGCAGAGGCAGGAGGGTTTCTGCAAACTCGAGGCCTGTCCTATATGGCAAGTTCCAGGTCAGCCGGAGCTACATGGGGAGACCCATAAATAATAATATATATTTAGCTAAAGTTAAAAATCAAATGAAAGGATTGCTCTCTTGTGACACCAGATGGTCATGCAGACTCTTCTAGTGGTTACTGACACAAAAGCTGTGGCTCTGAGCTCCGGGGAGAAGCTGTCACTAGGAAGAAAGGACAGAGGAATGGAGTCAGCTGTGACCACAGGGAATTCAGGCTGCTTGTCCTCAGTGAGAACTAGAGATTCTCAGGGTCTTTGGGTTTATTAGCTGTGAAGACTGGCTTTCTTGAAGACTCCTCTTAAGGAGAGTTCCGATGTCAGATTCAGCTCAGTGGCCCGTTTGTCCTGGAGACCCCCTGGCTTTATCCTGTAGATAGTTCTTTCCCTCCTGTGATAACACGAAGAGGGAACATGGGTTGTAGGAAGGGAGGAGAGAGACGCTATAGGATCAGGACTTAGGGATTAAAGGCATGACAGCCTGTCTGTCTTGTCCACCATGTCCTTATTTCTGTTTTAGCTGCTGCTCTGAGAATTGATAAGTGCCGCAGAGAGCTGCAGGGGACACTGCAGTACCTTAAACCCTAGCGATGCCTGTAGCTCAGAGCTGTATAGTGAGGGACTCGTGGTAGCAGGAAGTGTGGTGAAGCGGTGGAACTCTGATATACTTGAGGGCGGCATCTGGGGATTTAGCTATGGTGTAAGGAAGGGGACAGAAATGACGCCACTGCTTTTTTGGCTAGAATAATTGGAAAGATGGGGAAACTTGGAGGGGAGCATGCTAGGTGTGTGTGTGTGTGTGTGTAGTCAGAATTCTTTTAAACCCAATAAAGTAACACAATGATACTTGGAGCCTTCAGGAAGTTGAAAGAGTAGGTTCATAGATCCAGGACAGCCTAAGTATATAGCCAGACCCTGTCTCAAAAGAAAACAAAAGAAAAAGATTGTGCATTTGAACTTAGGAACTTGAAAGGTATGTTTTTATTGCTTGGTATGTTGTCTGGTTTAATTTGAGTACCTTTTTTATTAAAATATTTTTTATTACTGGGGAGGGGATACCACCTACATCACTGCATACATGTGGAGATCAGAGGACAATTCACAGCAATCAGTTCTCTCTTCCACCGTGTGAGTCCCAGGAGTCAAACTCCTGTTGTCAGCCTTGGCAGCAGGCATCTTTACTAAAAAGATGTGTGTCCAGACCTAGTTTTGGACTGAGACAAGGTTTCATGTAGCACAAGCTAGCTCAGAATTTGTATTTATTGTCTAGCCAAGAATGACTTTAAACCTCTAAACTTACCCCTACCCCTCTCACACACCAGGACTACAGACATTTGCAAATAGGCTGGGCTCATTTGATATTTTTGAGACAGTATCTTTTGTAGGCCAGGTTATCACTGAATTAGATATGTAGGCAAGGCCCCTTTTTGCCCCTACTCATTACAATGTGGTGAATGTTGTGAGGAAAGAAATAGAAGCTTCTCTGGGGCTCCTTAAACTTACTGTCCAACTGAAGTGCTATGATTTAAGGGCAGAGTGGACACTTCTCTATTCCGTGGTCAGTTTGCTTCCTGTCCTTAGGTCTGAGTCTTTGTGGGAAAGGAAACCATCCTGGAGCTAGGTTGAAGCACTGAGGCTCTCACCCCGTTTATAAAAGACAGAAGTCAACCTTTTCCCAAACCTGGTAGACGTAGATGGATTTTCCTTTGGGCCACCAGCTCACAAAAATTGGCACAGAGACCTATTAATAATTATGGAAGGTCAGCCTGTAGTTTTTCCCCATTAGCTATTATAACTTAAATGAACCCGTTTATATTAATCTATGTTTTGCCTGATGGCTGTTTAACTTCTCTTTCATCTTGTACCTCCTCATTCCTTTCTCTAGCCTTTGGCAAAGACACATCTTCACAATATAAAAAAGATTCTGTCACAGCAAAAGCTCACATAAACTGTTTCATTAATTTTGTGCCTTAGGCATTTCATGGACCTTCATCCTGGTCCCTGGGGTTACAGATGTGTGTGTGTCACAACAACTGGCTTCCTATTTCTTTTCTTTCCTTTTTCTTTCTTTTTTTTTTTTTTTTTTTTTTTTGCTTTAAGACTGGGACTCATGCTGCTCAGCCTAGCTTCAAACTTCCCTAAGAAGCCAAAAGATGACCCTGATCATCTAATCCTCCTTCCTCTGCCTTCCAAGTGCGGGGACCATATGTGTGTCCCCTTGCCCAGTTTGTACAGTCCTGGGGTGCTGTCCGGGTCCTGGTGCGTGCTGAGCAAGCACTCTATCAATTGAGCTACTTCTCCAGCCCCACATGGCCTCTGCAGCTTGGTAGCACCTGACAGAGCTGTGCAGGAAATGTTCTTTTATCTTTTCCTGCTGAGGTGAAATTCATGTGACATCGTATTCACCGTTTTCAGTGCACAATTCCGTGCCATGGAGCCTGTTCTCCAGCTGAGGCAGCCACAACTTCCCTCTGGTTTCAGAGCTGTCAGCACCCAGGAAAGCCTCCATATGGGCTAAACCACTGTTTCTTCCCCTCCTCTCACTCCTGATGACCTCCTGCCTATTCTCTATGCCCTGGGGTTTCTTTTCTGGACAGAACAGGTGACTGATCAGACAATTTGTCTTTTGTGTAGGGTTATTTTACAAAACATGCTTTGGGATTCATCCAAGTTGTAGCATGCTTCAGTCCTTCATTCCTATTCATGGGTGAATAGCATTCCATTGTGTGACTATCACACAGGTTAGTCATTTAATAATGGACGTTTGACCTGGTTCTACATTTTGTTATTACCACAGTACTCCTGTAAACATTTGTGAAAGACTTTATCTGGATGTGTGCTTTCATTTTTCTTGGGTATAAAGGTAGGAATGAAATTGCTGGGTCATTTTATAATTATGTGCTTAATTTTTATTTTTATTTTTTTAGTCATTGCCATACTTTCCAACAGAGATTACATTGGTGTAGTTCCACCAACAGGGTACAAGCGTACCTGTTTCCCCATGCCCTTGCTGACACTTATTTTTCAATTTTTAAAATGTTATGTTTTTGGTTAGGTGTGGTGGCACATACCTTTAATCCCAGCACTGGAGAGGCAGAGGTAGACAGATATCTCTTAGTTTGAGGTGAGCTTGATCTGTGTGGGGAGTTTTAGGCTAGCCAGTGTTACATAGTAATACCCTGCCTCAACAACAATAAAAGTAAGTTTTAAGCAGTTTAGGTAGGTATGAGCTCACACTTCACTGTTTTAACTACATTTCATTGACAGCAATGCTGTTGACTAATTCCTATCTTGGAGAAATGTCGTTGCACCCTTTCCCAATTTATGTTTATGTGTTGACAGAGTTTCTGTTCTGCCTGGTCCCAAATTTAGTCCCAAATAAACACATAGAAGTTTGCATTAATTATAAACTGTTTGGCCAATGACTTAGGCTTCTTACTGGCTAGCTCTCTGTTAATTATTAACTCATAACTATTAATCTATGTATTTCTACATGACCTTATCTTACCAGAGAATACCCAGGCATCCTACCTTCCCGGTAGCTACATGGCATCTCCCTGGTGACTCCTCTCTGTATCCTCTCCCCAAAATTCTTCCTCCAACAAGGCCACACCTCCTAACTCTTCTAATCCTATCAAGGAGTTTCACACCGTGACTAAACATTCAAATAAATGAATCTATGGGGGCCTTTCTTATCCAACCTATTTCTTATCCAACCCACCACAAACAGCAAGCAGTCTTAATGGTTGAGCCCTCTCTCCAGCCTGCTCCCATTTTATAATTATATTATGTACCTTGTTGAATTGTAAGAATTATTTGTGTATCTGTACACTGAACTTAGGTACATGTTCCACAAATACCTTCTCTCCTTCTGGAGTCTGACATGTCAACTTTTGACTTCTAGCTTCTTACATTGTGGATCAGAGCTCCATATGAGATTATGTAATTAAATATGGGGATCTCGAAAAACATGGCAACAGTATTCTGAATGCTCAATGAGCAAACATTCATCCAATATCAAGGGTGAAATGAATCGAGTTGCTTCTGGCAGTGTTTGCATCTCCCACTCACTGGGGCCTTGGTTCTGAACACTGAAAAACGTGAACTTTGTACTGTGCATGCTGTCCTGCCAGAACACCTACAAAATACTGTCTCAAACGCTGCTCAGTCCCCAGGCTGCTGTGTGTTATGAACCCCAGTGCCTTAACTGTACATACAATGTCTTATGCTCTTATAGTGGTTTTATTGCCAGAAACAAAGACTTAACATTTCCTTCAACATTTAAGTGCCAAATCAGTTTATCTTTCTAACATATTGTGTTTCAATGATTAATTTTAAAATTGCTGTTTAACAGGTCTGGAGACATGGTTAGTGGTTAAGAACTTCTGCTCTTCATCGAACTCCAGTTTGGCTCCCAGCACTCCCATGGTAGCTTACAATTGCCTGCAACTCCACTTCCAGGGGCTCTGACAGCCTCTTCTGGCCTCCACAGGCGCCAGGCATATACATGGTACACATACATACATGCAAACATATACATCAGTTAAAAATAAATGAAATCTTTAAAATTGCTGTTTGAATCCAGGCATTGGTGGCACACACCTTTGAACCAGCACTTGGGAGACAGAGGCAGGTGGATCTCTGTGAGTTCCAGGCCAGCCTGGTCTACAGAAGGAGTTCCAGGATAGGCTCCAAAGCTACACAGAGAAACCCTGTCTCGAAAGGAAAAAAAAATTGCTGTTTGAGTTGCTGGCTTGAGTTTCATCTAAAAAAACAAACAAACAAACAAAAATCAGTAAATGAATTTTGGTTTGGGATTAGGACAGAACTTCCAACGGTTTCTGAAGCAAGCATACTTCTGATATTTGTACTATATATTTATGTGAGCAATGTTTCAGTATTAATGATTATAAAATCAAACTATTGATTAACTCTGAAAAACACCAAGGATGTTCTGTGTCTTATTATTAACTATTCAGCCAGAATGCAATTCTTTTTTTGTTTAAGACAAAGTCTCTCTGTGTAGCCCTGGCTATTCTGGAACTCTGTTTTTAGACCAGGCTGGCCTCAAACTCTAAGATCTACCTGCCTCTATGTGCACCACCACCACCTGGAGACCCTCAGTTCTTTTTAAATTTAAAGGTAAGGTCTCACTATGTAGCTCTGACTAGACTAGAACTCAGCATGTAGACCAGCCTGCCCTCAAATTTACAAAGATCTGATTTTTTTGCCTCCTGGGTGTTGGGTTTAGAGGGTGACCCACTATGCCTAGATTAAAATGTAATTCTTTATGGAAATATAAACAAATACATCTATTTTATCATTTTGTAAAATTAATTCCACCCTTTATAAATGGTAGAATTGTATGTTTGCCGAAGAATTATCTTGAACTTCTTTATGTGCTACAATCTTTGTACACTGTAAATGTGCACTGCTCTCACTGTTAATAAGAAGCTGATTGGCCAGTAGCCGGGCCAGAAGGAACTGGGTGAGACAGCCTAATACAGAGAGAATTCTGGAAGGAAGAGGGAGGAGTTGGAGGAGTTGCCAGCAGACCCAGAGGGAGCAGGAGATGAACATGCCATGTTAATAAAGGCAGAGGGTAAATAAAAAAATGCAGATTAACTTAAAATGTAAGAGCTAGTTAGTAATAAGCCTGAACTATCAGCTGAGCATTTGTAATTTATATAAGCCTCTGAGTGGTTATTGGGTAACCAGCTGACTGGAGAGAAATGTTTGTTTACATTTATGATTTATTATCAGTAAATACTTGATTTGTATACATACTTTATGCATCCATATACCCAAAGTACCATCTGCATTTCTAAGTTGAGAAGGGTACTGTGTGGGGAAAGCTGGAGAAGCCCTGCCGCAGACCACTGTTTCCAGGTTCTCTCCATTCTGTATGCTGCCCCTTGACATTCTTGATCATCGCCCTTCGAAACATCAAAGCGTTTTGTCTCTTAAATAATGTTTTGATTCATGAACTTCTGTGATTGTTTTCCTTGGCTAGGAGACAGCTGTTGTAACCCCATAAGCATGGGTGCCATTAAAAAGATGGTTGAGAAGGAGATACCCGGAATTTACATCCTGTCTCTGAAGATTGGAAAGAACATGATGGAGGTAAGATAGCAGCTTGTCCCCTGGGAGGTTTGCTGTCGGGTTGATCAGTTGTGCTATTTGAACGCTTCACCTTGCGTTTATTTTTAGCAACAAGCCATGGCCCCTCTGGTTCTGTTTCATTTTGTTTGGAGATGGAGGATTTTGCTATGTAACCCAGGCTGGCCTGGGACTTGATCTTCCTGCCTCATCCTCCCAAGTGCTTGGACTACAGGGTTCAACTCTAGGGCTGTGTGAGGGCATTGACCTGTGTCAGCCCCTGCCTTAGAGAAGATGCTATTTTTTTTACAGTTCCTTCCTTCACTCTCACTGCTCCTTTTTTAGGAAGTGGAGAACAGTTTCTTCTTGGATGTCAATTTCCAAGTAATGATAGTGTGTCAGATTCTGGCAAAGGATCCTAAGTTGCAGAAGGGGTACAACGCTATTGGCTTCTCCCAGGGAGGCCAGTTTCTGTAAGTACCCTCCTGTGCCATGGTACCACTCACATGGAATTAGTGTTTCTTCTATTTAGGTCAATTGACTGTAATTGTGTGAGGGTCCTCCCCTCTCACAGAAAGGAAGTTAGTCTTAAAACATCACTGTGTAAGAAGCTTTGTGGACCTCAGTTTCTTTTCTCTCTCTCTGTGCGCTTGTGTGAGCATGTGTGTGGAGGCCAAAGGTCAATGTGTGGTGTATTCCTCAGGTACTCTCCACCTTACTTTTTAGAAAAATATTTTAAGGATTTTACTAATCTTGTATTAATTATGTGTGTGTTGGGGTATGTGAGCATGTGAGAGCAGTGTCCATAGAGGCCAGAAGGGACATCAGATGACCTCAAGCCGGAGTTATAAGTTGTTGTGGTGGGAGCTGAGCCTGGGTCCTTTGCATGAGCTGCAGGAACGCTTCACCACTGAGCCACCTCTCCAGTACTCTATTTTAACTTAAAAATGTTTAAACTATATTTACTTTGTGGTGTGTGGGGGTGTGGGTGTGCGCGAGCGCGCACCCACCCATGCGTGTAGTGTGTATGTCAGAAGACAGACAGCTTTGAGGAATCATCAGGTTCTCCCTTCCAGCATGAGAGACCCAGGAGTCAATTCCAGTCATCAGGCTTGGCAGTGAGTGTTTAATCCATCTCACTGAACAGTGTTGCTGTTGTTGTTGTTGTTGAGAAAAGGTCTCTCTGTGAACCCTAGCTGGCTGATGGACAAGCCTCGGGAACTCTCTGTCTCTACCTCCCCAGTGCTAATATTACTAGAACTGCTGTGCCAGACTTTCTCTTTCCTTTCCTTTCCTTTCCTTTCCTTTCCTTTCCTTTCCTTTCCTTTCCTTTCCTTTCCTTTCCTTTCCTTTCCTTTTCCTTCTTTTATTTTTTGTGTATGTGTGTTTGTTTTTGTTTTTCAAGACAGTTTCTCTGTGTAGCCTTGTCTATACTGGAAATCTCTCTGTAGACCAGGCTGGCCTCAAACTTACAGAGATCCGCCTGCCTCTGCTTCCCAAGTGCTGAGATGAAAGATGTGCACCACCCCTGCCTAATTTATTTTTTTAAGGGGGTGATGCAATCCAGACTCAGGTCCTTATGGTATCAATGGCTGAGCCATCTTCCCAGCTCCTCTTGATTTGTTTTCTATGAAATAAGATTTGTATTCAGCCAGAAGGAAGATCCTGTGACTCTGTGGTTTGGGGACCCATGAGTATTAAATAGCTTAATCTGTGAAGTGACTATGGATACATTCCAATCTGACCATCAAAGCTGACAGCCACCTTTGATTTCTCCAGGAGGGCAGTGGCCCAGAGATGCCCGTCACCTCCCATGATCAACCTGATCTCAGTTGGTGGACAACATCAAGGTAACGTTCACCCCCTTATCCCCATGGTTCTCTCCTTCTTTTCTAACCCATGTCTATTTGATATTTTGTATTTCTTTTTTCTTTCATTTTTTCTTTCCTTCCTTCCTGTCTGTGTGTCTGTCTTTCTTTCTTTTTATTTTTTTTTCCCCTCCTCTTCCACCTCCTTTTTAGATAAGGTCTTGTTTGGTAACCTAGGCTTCCCTCAAACTCTTGGCAATTCTGTTTCAGCCACCTGGGTACTGATATCATAGGTATGTGCTACCACACCCAGCGTGTGTGTGTGTGTGTGTGTGTGTGTGTGTGTGTGTGTGCATGTGCGTGTGTGTTAAGTCCATTTAGTGTTGCTCATATGTATATGACCACTTGGGATTGGATAACCTACCAGGCACTCATCCCTGAAGACTGGTTCTCCTACTCTCTGCCATCATTAATTGATTGTAGTTCTTCATCTAGGGGCGGGGCCCTGTGTGATTTCCCCCACCTGCACTGGCATGTCAACTGATGTTGTCATTATGCAGGTCTTGCTTAGGTGATCATATTGCTGAGATTTCATGGGTGTAGCAATCCCTGTCATATATAGATGACAGCCTCTCAACAGCAGCCATACTGGACTTCTGAGCCCTGGGTGTGTGGGGTTGTAGATGTATCAGTTGTAGTTGGGCACCTCATGATCAGTTGTTCTCTGCATTTGACCAGCTGTGGGTCTCTGCAGCAGTCTCCATTTGCTGCAGAAAGAAGCTCCTGTGATGAGGGCTGAAAGCTGCCCTTACCAGGAAAAGCAGGTGCTAAAGTCGCATATCCAGAGCAAGACCTGGTCATGCAGAGATGGCCTAGATTGTGTGTGTGTGTGTGTGTGTGTGTGTGTGTGTGTGTTGCTGTGGATCAAGCCCAGGGTCTCCACGTATAAGGCAAGAACTCTACCACAGGACTGTACCCCAGCACACATTTGACCTTCTGAATCCATGAGTTCCATATCTGTGGATTCAAAGATCCATGGATAAGAACTCTCCTGGGAAAGGGCCATGGTGGTTGTGTGTGCCTCAGATCCCAGCATTTAGGGAGTGGGGGGAAGATCATCCTTATAGAGCATGAGTTCAACCTGGGCTATAGTGGCCCCTACCTGTCTTCATTAAAGAGAGAGGGGGATGGGTGGGGAGGGAGGATGGAGGAAACTCGCATCTGTTCTGAACATGTACATATTTTTCTCAGTCTCCAAACAATGCAGTGTAATGACAATCCACAGAGCGTTTATACTTATTAAGTGTCAAAAGTAGTTTACACATGATTTAAAGGCAGGGGTTGCATGGATGAAAGTATGACATGGGAAGGGAATGGGGAAGGGAACCAGATGATTTCCCAAGAAAGCAGATGAAGCAGTCATGCACTGTATGTAGCAGTCACATGTGGGTGGGGCTGGGGTAGAGGTCCCTGGGGGGGTGCCAGGAGGAAGTTGGTGGCATTGTTAGTTCACAGTACTTGGGCTTTTTTCTTTTTTAGTAAATGAATGATTTCAGATTCAAGCTCTTTGTCATTTTGTTTGTTTTCACAGTGCCTGGTACAGTGGGTATATGATTATTGGAGTAATGCATGGTTATCTTTTACCTACATAGGAGTCTTTGGCCTCCCTCGATGCCCAGGAGAGAGCTCGCACATCTGTGACTTCATCAGGAAAACGATTAATGCTGGTGCTTACTCCAAAATTGTTCAAAAACGGTGAGTGTGGCTAGCTATCTGGTCCAGACTGTGGGAACACCTTGCTGACATTCATGCTCAGTGATTCTAGGAGTAATTGCGAATGATATCACAGCTGTTTGTAACTCTACTCTCAGGGGATCTTATGCCCTCTTATGGCCTGTGGGCACACTGCCTGCCTGTGGTGCACAGGCATACATGCAGGCAAGACACCCATATACATAAAAAATAAATAAATCTTTTTTTTTTAAAGTGTCCTTAAAACATATGAGGCCTGATGTGGTGGTGCACGCCTTTAACCCAGCACTCAGAGGGCAGAGGAAGGTAGACCTCTGTGAGTTTGTGTCTACACAGTCAGTTATAGGCCAGTCAGGATGACATAGTAAGACTTTGTCTTAAATAAATAAATAGATATGTAGGTAGACAGACAGATTATTGAAAGGGATAAAACTCACTGGGGCAAGGAGAAGATAAGAGGAAATGAAAGCCAATACATGTTTCTGAAAGAGCAAACAGTTTGTAAGAACTGTTGTAGTACAGTGGAAAGGTTGAAGGGTTTACCCTTGTAGAAGGCACACTGCAGGGGCCCATGCTCTAGAGCCCCAAAAAGGCTTGGGAACTGGGGGTATATAGTACTTTGGGAGGCTTTGGTAAGTGTGTGGGGCCAAAACTAGGACCTTGTCATTGAAAACCTGAGGCAGGAGCAGTCTGACTCCCTAGTTCCCTGACATGCACATCCAGGGGGCTGCTTTTCCCCTACCATGGCAGGAGAAGCAAAATCTACTCCCTACAATGTAACTGGGAGATTCAGACTTAGAGCTAACCTTGTTATGTACAAGGCAGAGTTTGCAGGTTCTGTCTCTGGAGGCAGTGACTAAGAGAAGTCAATGCCTCCAGTTCATCAGCTCCTATCTAAGCTCTGCCCATGGATGATAATGAATTAACCGTCTGAAACTGGAAGCAAGCCCCCAATTAAATACCTTCATTTATAAGACTGCCTTGGTCACGGTGCCTCTGCACAGCAGTGGAACAGTGACTAAGACAGAGGTAGAAAGGAGAACAGAGGGAAGTAGTTAGGATGTCTGATGTGACTAACGGGACTTTCCAAGCAAAGGAAGCGTGAATTGGAATTAAAGAAACAATACAAGATGTCCGAGCCATTGCCATGCATGAGCTTCCAGACTGAGAGGCCTTGCTAAACACCCAAAGAAGAACACAAGAAAAACAGACAAAGCCATACTGCTATACATTCCGGTGAAATTTCACAGCACCAGGCATGGAGAATAGATCCCAACTAGGATGTCGCTAAGAGTTCAAATCCTGTGCGGCATACTCTGCTACAGCACTGATGCTACCCAGAGGGCAATGGTGCAGAGCTTTGTCCGCTGACCTCAAGTCCTGTATGCCTGTACCAAGGAGCATGGCCTCCCATGTTCTCCTCCTAGGGGGTGACTGGAGATCCCTCATTCTGTCGTTAGCTAGCTATGTGGCCCTGGGCATTTTGAACCTCTGACATGAGGTTAGTAACATGCCTTCCTGGAGAGTCATTTTCAAGGTTAAAAAAGCAGAGCATAAGCTATTTAGTGGAGATTCTGTCTATCAAGGGCCAAATTCCAAAGATTTACCAGTACTTGACTTCATTTTTTTTTGTTTTGTTTTGTTTGGTTTGTTTGGTTTTGGTTTTTCAAGATAGTGTTTCTCTGTGTAACAGTCCTGGCTGTCCTAGAACTCACTCTATAGACCAGACTGGCCTTGAACTCACTGAGATCCACCTGCCTCTGCCTCCCAAATGTTGCTCCTCATCTTTCTCAGCTGGATAATGGGGACAAAGAGGCAAAGGCTATTGAATCCTGTGGATGAATAAGAGGTAAAGGAAAGTGAAGGAGGCGGTCTGTGAGAAGGGACAGCCTGGGCCACTGAGATCAGAAGGAAGCCAAGGGTTGGGTGCTGGTGGCTCATGTCTTTAACCCCAGCACTTGGGAGGCAGAGACACTAAGTCTCCAAATATTTGGACTTTTCTGTATCTGCCAAATGGCCTGTCCCACTCTTGGTAAGATGTCTTGTTGACAGGTCTACAAAGTCATCCCTAATTGAAGGCAACACCTGGGACTTGGGGGCTTTGGTCTTTCATCTTTTGATGTCCCTTGGTTGCCTAGGCATGTGCAGGCATGCCAACTGAGAGGCACCTTCATTCCTTCTCTTCCTCAGCCTGGTGCAGGCACAGTACTGGCATGACCCCATCAAAGAGGATGTGTACCGCAACCACAGCATCTTCCTGGCAGATATAAATCAAGAAAGGGTAAGCACCAAAACATGCTCCCATGGTTAGGCATTCCTTTCTGGCCATCAGAAAGAATCCAGCAGTGACCATTTAGGGAAAATACCTGAGCAGAAACCAGGAACCAAGGGGTTTGTGTGTGAGAGGCAGTACTCATGAGTTTCAGTTCCTTTTAGGGCAGCTGGGCTGGGACTCATCTGGCCCTCCTCTCTGAAGCCCTCCGGCTTCCTTCATGTTGAAGCAGCAGGATGAAGTTACAGTGGGTGGCCTGCTGGGCAAAGTGGGAATTCACAGCTGCTGTCTTCACAAAGGGCATCTTCCTGGTGGGGCCCTTCATGTGGTTACAGATGAGACTTAATTAAGGGACTCTAGGAAGGGCATGGACTGTGTGCCCAGACATGAGCATGGTTTGGGACATTCTGGTCAGTTTAATGGTTCATTGTATATGATAGCTAAGTAGAGGGTATCTCCTGTTTGAAGCAAAATAGTTGAAGGGACATTACAAACACAAAAGTCAGGAAACAGTGCTGAACCAGATAACAGAACAACCCAGAATTCTACTTGTTTTGCCACCTAAGTGGATAATGTATATAGAGAGTATGTGAACAGAACTCATAGTAGAATCCAGCTGATGGTTGGTGACATGTCAATCATCAAGGCTGATCTTTGAGTCCCTGCCAGAACATGACAATAGCAACCCTACAGTACTGTCCGTTCTTCTTCCAGTATGTCAATGAGTCCTACAAGAAGAACCTGATGGCCCTCAACAAGTTTGTGATGGTGAAATTCCTTAATGATTCCGTTGTGGACCCTGTAGAGTCTGAGGTGAGACCCAAGGCTAGTGTGCCAAGAGACTGTAGGAAGTAAATAGTACCGCCTACAACTGCTTCCTGGGCAACCTGTCCTCACCACCAACTCTTCACCTGGGAAAATCAGTTGCGATCCTTTAGTCGCACCCAGAATTTTACGTAAAACTATGTGGTTACATAATGTAGAAATATTAAGCTACATAAAATAGGGGTGTCCTATGATATTTTATTGAGGGAGAAATCACTTATGTGAGAAGTCAAGAAAGCCGAGAACCAAAGGTCTGCACGCTGCTCTCCAGGCTGCAACCAGAAAGAGAAAGCGTCTCCTCCCCCCAGCTCTTTTATCCCCATACTTTCAATGTACCTGTGACCACACCCAAATGGGCATGGTCAGCACTACAGGTATGTAGATCTCTCCCTACAGTTACACTCTACAGTTTTAATCAGGTTCCCCGTCCCAAAAGAGGTTCATAATCACTAGTCCATTTTTATAAACCCTAAGCTTGACGTCCAGGTCTGCCTTGATTCAGAAGGCTCGATCTTTCCAGCATCATCACCCATATTTTAGTATTTGAAATGCCTCAAGCCTGTTTGTAGGCTTCTCTCCCATGCCTTTTGAATGCTTTCCCCTGGCTTCTCCTGTTAATGCTTCCCCTGACAAACTCCTGTTAAGGCCAAATACAATGTCATTTCCTCTAGGACACCATCTCTACTCCCAGAATTTGGCTCCCTCCTTTTCATGGGGTCCTCAGTCTGTAGCTCCAGCTGGCCTTGAACTTGAAGTGATCTGCTGGGATGACAAAAGCCGGTTCTGCTTTTGAAGTCACCAGCCTCAACTGAAGCTCTGCTCAGTGTCAGATCACAAATCTCCCCATATTTTTGAGTGGCCTGTAAGCTCAGAATTTTTACATATATAAGTGACTGGAGAAAAAAATCAAAATATTTTATGGATGAAGGCTGCATTTCCAAATGCATTTCATTAGAAAATCCTTGCTCGTTTCTCACACTCGGTTGCTCCCTTTGTGTCACAATAGTAGCCACCACCACATGACTCTGTATCTGGCCTTTATAGAAGTCTGCTGACTCCCTGCTAAACAATTAATTGGTTCTGTGCCCGCTAGACTGGCAGCTTCTTGGGAAAGGGACTTGTATATTTATCCATGAATGACTAGGGCAGCACAGGGGCTTTTATTTGCAGTCAGGGAAGGAAGCACAAATTACGGGGAAATGGAAAACTGAAGATTGTTAGTTCATCCCTCAGGAATTTAAAATGAGATGACTCAAAATATACCCTTATGTCACGGATGATGGCACATGCCTATAATTCTAGCATTCAGGAGGCTCAGACGGAGAGAGGCTTGCAAGATCCAGACCAACTTGGATTACTCAAGTTGAGTTCCAGGTCACCAAAACCAAAACCCCATTCCCGTTCTTCCTTCTTGCTTGCTATGTTGCATATATTAAAGTGTTCATTTGCTGGTAGTTTTAGGTACTAGTCAATGTCAAGTGATTGTGAAAGTGGGCTGGATGGGTGGATAATCTGACCTTTTTTTTCCTTCTCTCCTGCAGTGGTTTGGATTTTACAGAAGTGGCCAAGCTAAGGAAACCATTCCCCTCCAGGAGAGCACTCTATACACAGAGGTAACAAGGAGACATTGGCCTTGGGAGGTTGACACTGTTTGTGGCCCCCTGGGGTTAGACCCCTGCCTTGTCTGTCCCAGAGCACTAGTGAGCCAGTTGACTTAGGTCTTACTGGGCTGTTGCTTGTCACACTAACTTCCTAGATGCTGGTTTTAGATACTTACTGCAGCTGGTTGCTTTTAAGCACAAAAAGAAACACCATCTGTAAGGTTTTACTTTGAAGAAAAGGTTTGGAGCTGGCTTCCTTTGAAGTTTACTACAAATCCCAGAAGCCTCTAAGAAAATGCAAACGTGGGTGAGGTGTCATGCTACTGTACCGTAAGATCTAGCCAGGGCTGTCTGGATGCTGTTTAACAGCAGATCCTGTTTCTCAAGCAGATGTTACAGTGTTTCACCACTCCAGTATGGCTTGCCACAAACTGAAGGATGTATACTATATTGGAGATGGACTCACAGATGTCCAAGCACCACACCTGAACCAACGTTTACTAGTTTTTCCTAGTCTCAGAAGCTTTTCTTCTGCTTTTCTCACACATGTGGTGCCAAATTTGGGTGGGGTAGAAAGAAAGGGAAGCTAGTTTCTGGAAGCTTTAGAAATTATAGCCAATATCTTCCTTATCATGAAACTCAACCCTGAGGTAGACAGGCAGTGACTTGTTCTGCAGGCCACTAGATCTTCCCTTCCCAACAAGAGACTGACAGCCTGGCTATTGGGGGAGGACACTGTAACTGCAAGATACTGACAGGTCCCAAGCTCCTTTTCCTAAGGATTGGAAATATTCTATCTTAAAAACATCTAGCCAGTTTTCTCCTATCCTTGGTTCAGCCCCACTTCACAATGGTGTTCTGTGCCAGGCTTGCCTGTGGCTTGCCCAGCTGTCCCTCAGAGAGCTGACTCTAGGCCCTGGGGTGCAGCTCAGGGACAGGTCCTAGGTTTATGTCTAGCACCTTGCAGGCGTTGGGAATGGGACAGAACCAGAACACGCTCAGCTGTACTTTTTTTTTTTTTAAAGACACTGCAACTCTCTATACAAACTCATAGAGATTCATCTGCCTCTACCTCTGGCTCTGGCTCCTGAATGGTGAAATTAAGGGATTGGGCCACTACGCTGGCCTTACCCATTTATTTTGAATGCTTAGAAGCAGCTGAAGGAGCCAGGCACATGCTAAAATTACAGCACTCAGTGCTGCCAGCTCAAGGCCAGCCAGGCTACAAAGTAAGATTTTGTCTCAAAACAAAAGCCTGAAAGGACATATCCTCCCCCCTCAACAGTACACCTCTATTTTAACACTGGGGGGGCAGTGTATTTTGAGACTAAATGTTGTATACATTGTTTTAGTCTAAAACCTTCCATTAAGCCTCTTGAGTTTACTATGGCCTTTCTCTCTACAGGACCGCCTGGGGCTAAAGCAAATGGACAAAGCAGGAAAGCTAGTATTTCTGGCTAAGGAAGGGGACCACCTTCAACTGTCTAATGAATGGTTTAATGACCACATCATACCTTTTCTTAAGTGAAGCCCTTGCACTTTGCAGTAGAGCTCAGGAAACCCCAGTTCTTCCAAAACATGTAAACAGCTCTCCATGCCCAACCCTGAACTCTAATCTAGCTTGCAAGCAGTTCTCCTCTCCTGTTATCTAACATGCCCTACTTGGAAAGATCTAAGATCTGAATCTTATCCTTTGCCGCCTCTTATCACCATATGGTGTTGAATTCAAATTTAATTAGCTAATATCCATGCAGCTTGTTTTACGACCTTGTGATATGGTCAGGCTTACTCTTGAGAAAGGAGTCTGCTGCTGCGGTTCAATGATTGTGCCCAGAGGAGACAAGAAAATGAAGCATGGGGACAGGTGCTGAGCGCAAAAACCCACAAATTTGGAGCAAATAAAAGTCTGGTAGTACCCAGCCCTGAGGTGCTCGCACACATTCTCACACACATTCTCAGCACTGCGGCTGTGGGCAGTGGCTGGACAGCATCACCTGCATGATGTTTCTGCGTCCCGTTGAGTGTTGCCTTCTAGTGGCACCTCATCACTCCACAGGCCACCATCATGCTCCCACAGAACTCACCCTGTATCCTCAGTGATAAAATCAGCCACAAAAGGAGGGAACAGCCAGCAGGGTGGCTTAGAGAAGAAATGCACTTTTTTCTTTCTTTTGAGACAGGGTCTCACTCACTTTGTAGCCCTAGCTGGCTGGAACTCACTATGTAGAGCAGACTGGCCTTGAACTCAGAGATTCCCCTGCCTTCTGAGTGCCACCACACCCTATAACAATGTGTGTCTTATATACCCTGGGATAGTGGGGAGTGGAGTAGAAGTGAAAAGCCATATGACTACTTTGCCACTCCATTCTTGGTCCTTCATATGGCGTCACTTACACCATTGCAAATGAGAGGAACGGTCTGAAAGATGGCACTTTTACACTTCTACCCCAAATCATACTTACCAGCACACTCCAAGCTGCTGCTGACTTGATTCAAGAAAACGATTGCAGAAAGTATACTTTCTTTTCCCTCTGGAGACCAATCCAGATTATGACTGATGATGACTCTGATGGTTAAAGGAAAACACTGGCCTATCACTTCCTGTGATGTTTGAGCATGGACCCTTCAGCACCATGCTGAGTGATTCCTGTCTAGTTTGGAGAAATGATTGCTTTCATGAAGGCCCCCTGTTAGTGCTACAGAATCTACCCCTTGCCGGTTTTTTCTTTTCTCAAATCTACTCTTAAAATAAAAAGATGAGATAAAGGGCAGGAAGCAGGAAGATGTGAAAATTACAAGACTGTCTAAAATAAATAGTAGTTTCTTACCCTTGGTGTCATTTTCAGTATTTTTTTTTTTACATCTCAGTACAGATCAGGTGAATGAATAACTGAACAAGTTTGGTATTAACTTTATTCTATTTTCTGTATAACTTTAAGTACATAAAGGTTTATTTCCACAGGCCTCAGGAAATGGGCAGAAGTCACAGGACAATCTCTCTTCCCACCAAAAACAAAACAAAAATGTTGCATATTTTGGTCAGTGTGTCCTAGAGGGAGAGCTGGGATACCATAGCAATGCTGTGCGGGATTCCTATGTAAATGAAGACCTAGACAGCCTGCGGCGGAGGTCTTAGTCCTGCTCAGGTGCCCACAATGAGGCCCTACACTGAGCGCTGCAGGCAGGCAGGCAGGCAGGAGTGGAGCCATGACAGGCATCTATCTGGCAGGGAAGAGAAACGCCAGACTCCTTGGAATGGTGGTTGCTTTTTCTTTTGTTTGTTTGTTTGTTTTTGAAGTTGTCCCCATGGGAACCAAGGTAGTCATGTGGGAGGGGAGTGAGACTTTTTTTTCTCAAAAAGGGTACTGCTACTCCAGCTGAGAGCGGAAAGCCTACTACTTTGTCGTCGAGGCTGACCCAGGATGGAATGCAAAATGAAGGAATGCTTTTAGGAAACAAGTCTGCTTGGAATGCTGAGTGGCAAGCCTTAGCCTTTGGTCCAGTGCAACCCTGGCCTCGCTTCTCAACAATGAAAAGTTAGATTGGTTAGAGCCTTATGGAGTCGCACTGGCTCCTGCTACCTCCATGCTCGCTGTTAGATTAACATGCATTCTGACCTGTGTGTTTCCAGGACGTTTTACCCCCAAGGACTGTTTGTTGGTAGAATGACCCCCAAAGATGAAAGCTTCAGTGCCCCAGTCTGGGCCTGCAGCTCTTAAGCACGGACTGTGGTGCAGCTGCGCTGTGCGGAGCAGCTACACTTTCCATCGAAGATCCACTGACCTGCTGTCCCGCCCCAATCTCAGCCTGAGGTATATTCAGTGAAGGCAGGTAGCTGGGCTTCTCAGAGCAGAGAAGCAGTTTAAGAGCAGAAAGGTAGAGGAAATCTAGAAAAGAACCGTCTCCATACAGGTGTATCCCATGCTGTGAAGGAAAGGGCACAGGACCCACTGGCGTTTGCTTATCCAGCTATTTCCGTCACTGTGGTGACCAACTTCTGCCCATTCCACAAGGTCTTGAACTGCTCAGGGACTGGAAACTCGTTCTGCAAAAAAAGAGGTGACAAGCTGTTGGGGGTAGAGATGGCTCTTGCAGAAGACCTGGGTTTGATTCCCAGCACCAACGGGGTGGCTCACTTCTGTACCAATTTCAGGTGATCCGGTGCTCTTCTGACCTTAGGCACCAGTCACACATACGGTACAACTGCATAATGCAGACAAAACACCCAAACACATGAAACAAATCTTAAATAACAAACTTAGGAGGTAACTAACACATTGGAATCCTGCCTATAAAATGAGCTGGGACCGGTTCTATTTCACACTTCTGCCCAGGTTTGGCTTCCACTTAACCTTGAGAGCAGTGTAGAATGGAGTGGGACAAAAACAAGCCATGCTGTGCTGCTCAGTCGTTCGTGATCTATGATCCTGACAGGTCTAGACAGCCCTAAACACCGGCTTGATGAGGGCAGGACTGTTTCTTAGTGAGCTAAGACGGGCAGGAATGACCCTCCCCTTGGAGCCCCTTAACAGGACCACCTGGCTTCTGCGTCATTGCTGGGATTTACCTACAGAATGCCAAATGTCTATCAAGCAGTTTTCTCTAATTCGAGAAGTCTTTGGTCCCCATTTCAAGAGACAGGGTCTTACTACATAACCCAGGCTGGCCTCAAACTCAAACTCCTCCTACCTCTGCCTCTTGAGTGCAGGGAATACAGATATATACCAACCAACAGGCTCAGCTAAGTTCTTGTTTTCACTGTCATATTCCTCAGGGATATAGCTTAGTTGATATAGAGTGCTTGCCTAGCATGCAACAAAGCCCTGAGTTCAATCTTCAGCAGCAAATAAATAGCTGCTATATGGTTATATCCCAGCACTTGGGAGGCAGAAGCAGGAGGATCATCCATGAGCTCCAGGGAGGGAGGGGGGGGAGGGAAGGGGAGAGGGAGAGAGAGAGAGAGATTGCTTACAAAATCCCCGCCTTCTGTAGGAATGAGGACATTCATCTCAGAAGATTTGGCACTGACAATCTCACAGTCCAGGGAGTTCTTGCTCAGGTAAGCATGGCAGCCATCTGTTTTGTTAATGGAAATGGTTGGCACTTTTCCCATCACCTGTAGAGAAAACCAAGACCCCTCAGTTCCAGCAGGTAAGGGTAGACTAAGCTGTGGAAAGAATGTTCGCTATTTTAAGTGATTATGCTACTTCACAAAAGCCCCTCAGCGCACAGCAGCTGAGAAAATGGTGGGCCGGACAGGAGAGTGCCCTTAAAGAGCCAGCTTCTGCCACGTCCAAGCCAGCTCAGCTTACAGACTTTGGAGAATCAGATTCCTGCCCAAGGAACATCTGTGTGTCTGCTGTGTCTCAATTGATTCCTCAGGGACCAAAAGGAAGAGCCAAGATATCAAGTTACCTGAACTTTGACATCTCTACTATTGATTATCTCCACAATGCCCACCACGTCATCAAACACCAGCCCAAGCTTCTTACAGTTATCTAGGGGAAGAAAGGAAGCAGGTCAGCAATGTAACTGCAAAGGACAAGAGGTTAAGAGTTAACAAAGAGGTGGAAAATGGCTCTAGCCCTCTCAGGCTCTGGGTCAGAACCTGCCTAGGACAGCAAGGAGGACTCACCTACTGTAATGGAGTTAATTTTGCCCTTGATTTGCAATGTTGTGTTGACACACTTGTATATGTAAGCCACCTGCTTCAGCTCAGTGTCATCAATCACTAGGTTGGAAACGTTCTCCTGGTTTTCCTGATGAAGACACAACCCAGGATTCTTACCACAAAGCACACATCAACAAAAACAATGCCTCACTCCAAACTTTTGTTCTCCACCATAAGCCAGACCCTACACTCTTAGCTAAATTCTGAGTAAAGCACTGCATTGTTCCTATTCCTCCTTCCCAGGAGTCGAAGTTTTAACTCACCACTCTCCACTTCTTGCCTTCCAGTTCCAGCAGAGCTGGCTCCTTCTTTGGGGCTGGTTTGGGGGAGGAGCTGGTTTGGGGTTTTGGTGCAGAGAATGGTTTGGGGCCACTCCGAACTGGACCACTCTGAGCTTTCAGGGCAGGGTTCTTGTGAGTCTTCATGTCATCAGATACATGTTTCAGGGCTGTAAGAACACACAACTACCTTGTTCCTGTTCTGCACACTAGAGCTTTGGGTTGAGGCAATAAGCAAGGTCTGCTATCACTAGTCCTAAGCAGAAACTTTAAGAACTCACTCTTGAGAGGTCATCTTGCAAGCAACTTTGGAGAAGTGCTTTTATCCTCTATTTTATATGGTTTTATTAAAAACAAAACAAAAACAACTATGTGTCGAAGGTGAGGAAGGACAAGAATATGTGAATGCACAAAAGCAGATCTAGAAGGGTATGTCTCAAATATGTGCACACAGAGTATGTATGTATATCATAATAAGAGGGGGAAATTATGTCACAGTTAAGAAAATTGGGTAAAAAAAAAGTCTCCCATAGAGTAACCCCTCCTAATCAAGTGTCAGCATTTGAAGACCTACTTTTTTGTTACTAGGTATTAATTACACACAATAACGGGTTTCACTGTCATATTTCATACATGTATAGAATATGTTTGATCACATTCACCCCCATTACCTCCTCTTGTCCCCCTCCACTCCTGCTGCCCCCATCCTTTCCCCACAAACCCCTTCTACTTTCATGTCCCTGTGTGTGAGACACAACGAGCTTCATCGGGCTTTTATAGAAGCATGAGTAAGAAGTTATTTGTTGGCTCTCTTCTGTGATAACAAATTTGATGGATGTAGTTATTTAATATTCAACTTTCTAAAACGTTTTCATGGTTTTTTAACTTTTTGCGGGGGGGGGGGGGGGAAGAAATACAGTCTTAGTAAGCAGGCTGGTCCAAAGTATGCTGACTACTTGAACTAAAATTGAGGGTCAGTTTTCGCTCTACCACTAATTGTGTTTGTGATATATTTATTTTTGGAGTAGAAGCTGTTTTGTGAGGGACTTACACCTGGTGGGAGGATGGTGAGATCTACCTTCCTCAGCTGGGCTGGTCTATGCACTCCGCAACTGCTCCAAGAGGTAGTAGTTACATACTAGATTGTTTGTTCCTTAAACATTACATGGTTCCTTTGCTAGACAAAGTATATCTCAGGGCTGCACAGTATGCCATCGAGAGGATACACCACAGTTAACAGCCATTTCCCCTAATGCTGGGTTATTTCCCTAACGACACCACTAATGACTTCTACAAATAACAAGGTAAGGCTGTTCTGTTTTTATGAGTACATTCTTACTCAAGGGTTGTACAATTTAGAATTCCACCAGCTAGGTATGTTTACTTCCTCTGTAACAGTAGGTCCTTCTTATGCAAGTTTCCCATGTAACAAATCACATCCTCTGAGGAGTTAGCATCCCAACACGGTGACTTCAGAGACCATGTGGTACTTGCTATGTGGCACAGGCTCCGGGAAAACTGTCAGCACTGAGTTGGCTAGGAAGATGCCCTGGACATGCTACTTAACGACTTCCACCGTCATTATCCATGTTCAATTTCTATTCACTTATTTTTGCATTTATTATAGGGGGAGAAGGTAGTCAGAGGACAACTTTTGGGGGTCAACTCTCTCCTTCCATCAGGGGTTACACTCAAATCATCAAATCAGGCTTGGTGGTGAGCTCCTTAACACACTGAGTTAGATGTTCTTCTATTAAGAATTATTAATGTGGTAGGAGGGACTCATCTACAATGTGCATGTCAGGGTGAATGGACAACTCGATAGTGAGTTCTCTTTTCATTTTTGTGGGTTCTAGGGATCGATTACTACGCTTGTGC